AGGCCATGCCCCCAACAAAGACCTAACCAATCCTTTATCAATGAGTGAGGCGTGTGACACAGATCTGGATGATCTTCCTGCCCCAAGATGGCAGAGGCGGTACCTCAGAAGTCAATCATTTTCACCCCCGCCATATGCTGCCCCTCCACTCTATCAGTCATTGGAATCTGTCAATAGGCATCCATCAATGAGGTAGGAAAATCATTGGTTAATGGCAGTTCATTCCATTTAAATCAAGGATAATTTAAAAAAAACAAAAAAAACTTTTACCAATTTTCATTTTAGTTTCTCTTAGTACTGATGCAGTTTTTCCATTATCAAAATATTTATAAAAATATAAATTGTCATTAAGACCACAGCTCCTTTATAAATACAAATTTCATTTTACTTTTGGAACTCCTCTTCCACTTTGTAAATTTAATTGTGTTTACACTGTTATAATTTTGGATTAACATTTTAAGTGAAAAATAACAGAAAAATTATTACATTTTTTCCAGAATAATTAGAATAACATTTTAAGCAAATAAGGTTGTTTCATCAAGACTCGGGGTAACTTTTAAAACTTGTAGACTCCTTACTTTTTTTATTTACACTTTTATATTTCAAATTTTCTTCATTCACTGACAGGTCAGGATCAAGTTCTTCCTCAGACCCTCACAACTCATCCTCTGACAGTTCATCTGCTGCCATTGAGAACATGCACGGGGCATTCAGAGGACAAGGACAAGGTCAAGCCAGGGGCCGTCAGCCAGCTCATCTGACAGATCGTCGTTTCTGCATAACTCACCAACGGCAGCTGCAGCAGAATCTGTACAATGCCCAACAGCAGCAAATACAGGATTCTCCTTACGGGGAAGACCTCAGTGGGGTCCATGATGCCCCCTATATGATCATGCGCAGGTGTCAGTCTGTTGAAGAGGGCAACAGGAAGCGGCTGCCGCAAAGAAATGGAAGCCAAAACTCTCATGACATTCGCAATGTCCACCCTCACGTTGACGGCAGATTTTACCAAAACACAGAACCCCTGGGGTACAGCAAAACTGCAGGCCTGTTCAAGTATTCGCAATATGGCGACCCAAACATCACAGCAGTGCTCAGGGGTAAACAAATTCAAAATGGAAACGCAACAGGCGGCAACGTGGTACGATCCACTTTTCAGAATGGGGGTCAGGGATTTCAAAATGACCTCTATGCTCGGGCTAATATTGGTCAACTCAGATTACAGCAAACCAATGTAGCTGAGGAAGAACTGAACTCATCTACAGACAATGGATCAATAATAAGCGAACCATCGGCACGGTACGGTGGTCAAGCCAATGAAATTGTTGGGTATGTTGGAGCTGTGCGGTTGACTGAATCGAGTGACAGCGATAAAGATGAATATGCAGAAACGGTTATTTAAAATTTTTGACCAGATTAATCCAGTCTACGCCTTCCTAGATTACACCCAGTATTCAAATTAGCTGACTTCCCCATATTGAAATAGTGCATTTAGTATTTTAGCCTTAAAGTTCAACTCATTGGGAGAAGATACATTTTTTTCGAGTGTTTAAGTTTTATGCATTTAAGAATATCTTTATTTACAACTCTAATGAACTGCAGTTTTGTTTGTTCAATACCGTACAAAAGTATGTTCAATTTCATTTACTTCTGATGACAATTCTTACTTTTCCCATTTTGGGATGTCTCAAAATGTTTTTTTTTCACTCTTATATATTTTAACACTGGAAATTCTTATCCTTGTTGACATATTTTTCTAGCGCTGTACCGGTACTATTTGGCAAGTCCATTTTTAAAAAAATATTCCACCCTTACTCTTTCCTGAAAGCATTTAAAACTTCTGATCTCTCAATACCTTTACTACAAACAATGTTCAAGTGCCTTGCTTTCTGAAACAGCATTTTTGATGCAGTATTTTTTTTTTTTTGCAAGCCTGCCCGATATTCTAAATCTGCATTAATGGATTTCTTATTATTAGTCCAAAGTTTTAGAAACTATGCAGGTGAAGTTGATGATTCATGGATGCCATTCATCAATTTTACATTTTATTTTTTTTATACCGCGGAATTTTCAGAAAGTAGGTTTCTTCTTATCTGTGAATTTCCAGTCATTTCATATTTCACATAAGGATAGGCAGAGAAATTCTGTGTCTTGTTCAGGGAAGATTTAACTTTTAAAATGGATGGGAGAAAATGAGAAATATTAAATGGTTGATTTGTGATTTTGTTTTGAATGTTAATATAGTTTTAAAACTGTACAACTAATCAATTTCAAACTATTTGATATTTTCAGACTAAAAAAAAAAACAAGTTTAGAATAAATATATAAATATCTGCAATAAACAAAAATTAAATTTTCCCTTTAAAAAATTCATTTGAAATTATTTGATCCCATAAAGTAAAGATGATTTATTTGGTTTGGAGTTATTACTTCATTCTTGTGCCATTTAAATTTAACTGCTTATCTCGTTAAACACAATAAATACCAATGACAGGAATTGCAATTTACAAATAGAATTGACTTCTGCGTTCTAACACTTGGTATTTTCTTAAGATATTTTAATGAAATCGTTTGCATTCTAAGAGAATATAAAAATATGAGATCATGCCCTTGTGTATACTTTTGTTGTTATGTTTTTGTATTTTTTGAAAATTTTTATTATACTGTTCTTAGCTGTATACAAAATGAAATTATTTGTCATATGCAAAAGTACTGTAACCATCTCATGTTTGAACTTTAATCCATTAAATATGTCAAAGCAATTTGCACATGCATGAAAGCTTCTGGTTCAGCTTCAATTTTAAAAAATGTGCATTGAACTGAACTAGCCCTTCAGAATGCAGCTGATCTCCGATTGAAAAAAAAGTCATAGCGGGCAGAAGTGGAAGAGGGTGATCGATCATACGACATAAAGGCCATTTTTCTGTATGCATTTGACCAGTATATCAATTTAATAGATTTTGATGGTTCTGATGGTGCTTCTCGCTATTATTATGGCCATGGTACATGAAAAATACACTTTGGAGGCCATGAAAAATGTTTTGATTTAATAAAAATTGATTTTGCGCTCATTGTTTTGGAACTAATTGTATAATATGTAAATTCTATATATGTATATAGATATATGTTAACACTCACATGAACAATATAGTCAGCTGTTCAGTCACCATTAATACTTAATGTTTACAAATTTTATTGATTCTATTTTTAAATTAATAAATCAATATTAATTATTAAAATTAACCCGTCTCATTAAGCTTAATAAAATATATATTTAACATTGATTTCAAATTTTTTTTTTATTGAAACATTTGCATTCCCCCCATTGCAACTAAACCTTTTTATTTATTGGACCTATGCTTTTTAGTAATTCTATTGTATGTAGACCTGAGAATGCAATTAGTCTTTTTTTAGCTTTAGCTCTAAACGAAATGCATGAAGCCTAATTGACTCATTGAACTAATTGTAACCATATTAATTGTATTCGAAAGTTCCATGTGTTTGTAATGAGTGCAGTATATAAGTATAAGTGAAGGTAGGGAGCTGGATCTTCATTTTTCTTTGATATGATGGTATATCTCTGCCTGACCTCGATCAACCTTTGTAAAAAGTAAATTCAGTAATTAATTTTGAAGACAAAGAAATGTAATACTCAAACTTAAATATATTTAACATGAATTTCCTAAACTGATCAACTTTGTGAGTGCTTTTCCCATTACTGGTAAAATGATGGGCACCTTAAAAATAAATATCCCTACACGTCTTACTTTCTTGAAAATAAATAGCTTGGAATGGAGGCTTCAAAAGGTTCATTAAATGAAAAATGATGGGGGAAGACACAAGGACAGCACCCAATGATGAAATCCCAGTTCTTAAATGTATTCCGTGAATGGGCCTTTATTTCACTATATAGATAAATGTTTACTGCTTTTTTTCTTATATCTTAAAACAATATGTCTAGCAGTAATGTGATAAATTAATGTGAGCAGGTTGAATTCAAATCATTATGATGCAGGTTTCATATTTGATTGCATGATTCTGTGAGAGCATGTGCTTACATTGATAACATCTGCAGATTATAAAATCCTATGTAAATATTTACTGAATGCTTTTGCAATGTATGGACAGATGCTATAAATAGACTTTTATTAGTTAAAATGCAGATTACAATTAATTTAAAAAAAAATTTTTTTGCAAAAGTAAACACAAGTTGTTGTGCATAATAATACTGTCATGTTCTAATAAAATACAATGGTACTGAAATAGTTAAAACAATCAGGTGTTACCATTTATCCATCAGTGTTGAAGTTAATTTGTCTAGGTGTGTCAAATTTATCATATGACCTGACCAAGTAATGCTTGTGACTAGCAAGAAGTGGTAAAATTATTTACCCAAGTGATTTAATTATCAAAGATGTATTTCCTATAAATTTCCAATTTAAATAAACACTTATAAAAACAAATTATATTAACCAAACGCAACCAAAAAAAAAAAAACCAAAAAAAAAAGGACCAGTATCATTGATCATTTTTTGTAAATAATTTTGTTTTCTCTCTCATAATTATGAATTTGCACTTGCATATTACAAAAATTAAGCCATTAGTTTATTAGTGGGTTTCTTTCTTAACCACCACTGCATTGTCAGTCATCACATCGTCTAAAACATAATATCAAAAGCAAAAAGCCAACAACATGCATAGGCCTGATAATCAAGTATGACAAAATCAAACCATGTATTAATGACTTCTGAAAATGGGGCATCTCTGATTTTTTAAAATGATTGGCACCAGACTATAAAGCATTCCAATACTTAAGCTAATATCTGTTGTGGTATGTTAGCTTACTTTGGGGCTGAGCTAACCACTAACTGAGGAGTGATAAATAAAATAAACCAATTTCAATTCAATGCATTGTTAAGAAATAAAGATAATTTTAAAAAATACCTAGATTTTTTTCATTTTTTTTTCTTTTCATGTAAAAAAAAAAAAAAAAAAAAAAATAAGTACGTGCTCATTTACTTTGTAAAGCGAAGATGAACATCAATAAAATATTTTTATGATTTAATTTAAAGATTTTTTATTTAATAAAAAAAAATGCAATAAATTCCAATCATAAGAAAAGGTTAACCTAAAATTTTAAAAATAAAGTGATAGGTAGTGATAGGTTTCACTTACACCATATGTTAAGCAGAAAAACAAAATCATTTTCTATTTCCTTTTTCTTGTTTATGTGTCTAGAATAATCATTCATACTTGGTGGCAAATATTTTGTAATTTTGAAAACTTTCATCTAGACTGTTTTATGAATGAGCAAAGAGGTTGTTGATTGCTGTCACTGTCATGCTACTGCTCTACAATTAACTTGGCATAAAGGAATATATAATCAGAGGATTATTTTTAAAAAGGTGGTTAAAATTAAATAAATGTTTCAAATTAAGGAGGATATCCAAATGGATGGGCCACGGTTATATTTTTTTAAAGTGCACTGATAAATATAATATCTGTTAATCCAACATTAATTTGCCCTGAATAGATACATTTTGCAGAGAGAATTAGGGACTATTTTTTGCCCCATCTATTGATCAGTAATTATTGACATCCAAACCATACCAGTTTGTCTTACAGAGTACTGGAAAAAAACAAAAAAACTTTTCATAACAACACTGATAAAAACAGACGGCTTGTCAACAATATGTGGATGTGTGCATAACTCATTTTTACATAGCTGGGTCATAACAACGGTGCTGGGCATATGTGCTTAAATCAGCATACCCATGAAAATGTGGTGCCAAGCAAGCTGAGCAAAAATCTTCAGCTCTCACAAATTGCATACCTACCTAGGGGAGACAGGGGATGTTTAATGTTTTTTTGTTTTTTTTCAAAATGGTTTAGGGACAGAAGATATTGAAAACAACCAGCATGTTTAATTTAAAAAAAATAAAGTTCCACCGTAGGCTGAAGAACAGATCACATCACACCAAGAGGCAGCATGTGCAGCAAAGGTTTAAGTTTAAAGAAATATAATATAAATTTGTCATTTGGTTAAAAGTTAATGGTAAAAAGTTCAAATCTGCCAAATTAGGCCAATAATAATTATTATCTCCAAGCTTCTCTCCACCACTTCATAATCAATCTGCTTCAAATCTGGCCTATATAATTCTTAATAAATATCAAATAAAGGAAAAGGCCTCTTTTAATTAATTAGGAGATAAGAATTTAATAAATAGATTTTAATGAAATTATTTTGCTAATTTTATCCTGTAACATTTTTTTTTTATGAAAGGGGCGTGGCAAAACTCTTTCTCGCCCCAGGCGGCACAAACCCTACAAGCGGCACAAACCCTACAAGCGGCACAAACCCTACAAGCGGCACAAAGCCTACAAGCGCCACGGCATTATCAGTACTTGAGTAAATTGAAGTTTAGCAATTATTACATTTTGAAGAATTATAATTAAATTAATAAATACATATAAATGCATTTTTTGGTTAAACAAAATTACTCACAAACAAATAGAAGGATAAAACACGACTGATGGCAACAAATAGGAAAGAAAATAAATCCAATTTCGGCATATACCGGTTTTCTTTGATGACAAGTTAGTCAGAACCATGGACAATTTTCTATGTTTTGATACTGGTCAGACTGATCAATTTTTACTGCTTGGAGACAAATATTTATTTAAAAACTAGAAACAAAAGTACAGTGGGGATATAAAATAACCACCAATATAATTACATACATGAATGGATGGCCACCAAACTACATGAGAGAGAGAGAGAGAGAGAAAATGATGTAAATTAATTTTAAATATGACTGTTCACTTTCAATATAAATTTTTTATTTAAATAATCCCAAGTGATGACTTCCAAGGTCAAGAAACACTACAGTCAACACTTATGGGAACACTACTTCATATCGCACCGGAAACATTTAAAAAAAACAACTCTGAACTATGTTAAATTCTTCAAGATCCTGTTTTCAAAGATAAACAAATGATGAAATGAGAGCTGTGAGCTAATGTGATATGTATACTCCTCCTTGCTCTTGAATTATAAAAGTCAAAATAAATACACACCACATTGATAAATATTACAAAATCTTCTACCAAGTCATATAACAAATTCTATAAAAATGTCAAAGTTTGTTGGTTTATAACAAATAGAGACAAACACTGAATTCTTACTTATGATTAAGACCTAAATAAATGTCTGGTTTCATGAAAGACCTTCAAGCCCCTCCCACATATCATGGACACTAAAAAAATATTACAATTACAGCACATTTATTATCCAAATCTCATCAGAGATTCCAACTTTTTAAAACTCTCCACCATCGACCAAACCCGTGATGTTACAAAAACGATAAAGATGTAAATTATAAATACTTAAAACCCTAAATCACTATTGCATGAGATTTTCCTAATCAATATCGAATGGCGCTATCTCTTTTTCTCGCCTTTAGAGGTTCGTTTCTTCTCCGATTCTTTCCTCTCTTGCTGCTTCTGCTTCTGCGCAAGTCTGTCCTGCTTGTCTTTTTCTTTCTTCTTCTCTTGCTCTTCTTTAGCCTTTTCTCTCTTCTCTCGTTCGGCTCTCTGCACCTCTTCTTTGTTCACATTTCTGATCAGCAATGCTGAAAAAACAGCTTAAGGAAAACAACTGTCAGAGGTCATCCATTAAAGAATTAAGTAAATGACAAATCTCAAACTCTCTATGGTCTAATTTGATACCATGAGCTAACAAAATGTGAAATTTAACTACAAACCTGTTGCTAAAACGTGGTTTGAATTTATACAAAAAAATCATTTGAATACAGATAACTGTTCAAATACAGGCAACTTTTGATAACTCATTCTAATAGGTTAGGGGGAGTGTGGTTGCTTTTTTGGTCAGAATTCTGAAATGTCTCAAAGATGGGAAATAGAGCTTTGACTAAGGACTAAAAACTGATGCCTATGATAAAGTAAAATATTAAATGATTAACGTCATCAATACATGTCAGATAAGACACTTAACACAGCTAGGTACCAAACACATATGGAGACGTGCAGGTTAACAATTTATGCTTTAACAATGTATAATCAAAGGCTGAAAATTCATTTTTAAATTGAAATTTTCTCTGAAGTCTTAAATATTGCAGTCGAAATGATCAAAATTCCATGTATGTGAAACACAAGTAACTCAAATACTCTATATGATTGGTTTTCAAAAAGTGCCTAGTTGAGCCCTTAGGGATAAGGGCTCTAAATGTACTTCTTAGGAGCTCATGGCTGGTCCAGGAAACTTCCAAACACTACTAGGTTGAAGGATTGGCCTAAGGGGCTCCCCATAAAAATTTATGATCATTTATCACAAAAAAAAAAAGGTCTCGTCAAGTCAAAAGATAAGAACCACTGCTGAAATGTTTAAAATAAAAATAAAAAAAATAATAAATTAAAAAAAAAAACATCTTTAATTTTATGTCATGCTTAAATCTAATAACAAAAGTACCATTGTTTGACAGTGAGAATGGCCATGATGTGACAGTGAGAATGGCCATGTTGCAGACCTGTTTACCCTCAAACTCTTCAACTCGTACAATATCATCACAAAATCGTTTAAAACATTATCTTAATTGTAAAATAATAAACCTACAGTATAAACATGTATACAGCTTAAAATTGTACATTGTACGCCAAAATCGCGAGAGTAAACAGGTCTGAGATGAGACTGGCCATGATGTGACAGTGAGAATGGCCATGATGTGACAGTGAGACTGGCCATGATGCGACAGTGAGACTGGCCATGATGTGACAGTGAGACTGGCCATGATTTGACCGTCAGATCGGACATGATGTGACAGTGACACTGGCCATAATGTGTGAAATTTTTGTGGACAACCTACTTGAATTCAAAGAAAGCCAAGATAAAAGGAGAGAGAAAAGGGGGGGGGGGGTGTTGCGGTCAGTTGGTGCCTAAGTTCAAGGAATATTTCAAGTCATTTGAATACAAACTTCAGCATAGGGATATAATGTGTGAAATTTTTGTGGACAACCTACTTGAATTCAAAGAAAGCCAAGATAAAAGGAGAGAGAAAAGGGGGGGGGGGGGTGTTGCGGTCAGTTGGGGCCTAAGTTCAAGGAATATTTCAAGTCATTTGAATACAAACTTCAGCATAGGGATAGTCAGCTGTCATGTCAGCTGGTACACATAATTTATGTCACTAAAACAAAGACAAAACCACTCCACTAAAAAAACCAAACGGTTATTCAAAATATTAAAAAAAACAATGAATGAGCTATGTTAAAATGGGATCGTCATCTTGATCTACTACCTGGTCCACAAATATGGACGTAATTTAGAAACTGGTCCACAGACTAATGTAAGTTGCACTTGTTTTAGTTGCACATGGCTTTACATGTTTAAAAAAATAACAACAAGATTAAGTAAAAAAAAAGGATACGATTAGTTGACTCTAGCTTAGCTGGATTTACTCCTGTTGCTCCGAGTGCAGGGCTGTCATCAACATCACTGCGTTCATCTGAGTCACTTCTGAGAGTTTTCATTAAGGTTTTAACATTTAAAAATAATTAATTAGGGATTTTAACAACATCTGATAGCAATCTGATAATTATAAAGAGATGGGGGAGGGGGCGGAAAAGAAGATGTCCTTTGAATTATTTTACAATCCTAGTTAATGTTTACTAATCTTTAAAATATTTCTGAAAATTAGATATCTACCACTGTTGTGTACAACACAAATACTATAGCCCACTCTTGCAAGCATATGCTAAAAACACATTTTATTTCCAACTCATTAAATAATTCTAAAATTATATAGTTCACATGTGGTTAAATGCTTAGTTATATAATTCCTTCAAGGATACTCATCACCATCAGAAACCTGTCCATACTGAGCCAATATGGCTGCCTTTCTATCAGCTTCTTCTTTGGTTAGTTTCTTCTCCTGCACTGTGGCTAATGTCTGTTTACCCAGAATGGCTGAGAGCTTATCACCTATATCTGATGAAATGATAAAAAAACAGAATATCCATTGAGACCATTTTTAATGATTTCAAAAGTGTTAACAGTATAACTAACCACCATTAAATCATCAAATCCAAGTAAAGAGAGAAATTTTAAGTATTATATTTGATGCTTTTATTTTGTTAATTTTTTATAATGCTATTTGACTAATCTCTAGCATACACCTAATTACAGAAAATGTTTTTTTTTAACTATACACATCGAGTGGGGAAAACAAAGGTAACTTAAATACTGTTTACGCGTGATTAAATATTTAATTTATGATTGAATAAAATATAATATGATAATTTAGCTCAAAGACAATTTTATTTAACTGGTGGTTACCTTCTTTGACAATTGCAGCTTTTTTAGACTGATTCTCAGAATCCCACTCCTTCACAATAGACGTGTAAAGATCTGCGACTAAACTGGAATCCTGAAAAGTTCAGCCTTAATATTTTCATTTTACCAACAGAAAATTTAATATTACCAACACTTAGTGCCATATTTAACAGTTGTGTGTTACTGGATCATTAGCTATAATAAAATCAATAGGAGCAATACGTAGCTGATTTCACATTCCCAATAAAATTGTATTTTTTCCCCCTAATAATGCACTCACGGAAGTCACTGTGAAGAAAAATAATTAATGACAGTGAGTTCATGTGATTTATTGTCAGTGTGAAACCAAAGGTTAAAGATTAAAAGTGTTTGTGTCAAAGAGACACAATAAATGATTTGACCGATTTCAGGCTCATGTATAGATTGTTATCTTTATCTCAATTGCATGTTGGTATACGTCAATACTTATGGCTCCACAAGTGACTTGTAGAATAAGTAGGAGTTTTCTGAGAACAAGAAAAGTCAAATGTACATATTCCTTACAGGTCCAGAGTGTATTAAATGGCTTTGAATCAGATGTTTTGATGGGGAAATCAAATCAAGGCAAAAGATGGCATCATTTATGATGGTTTTTGCAAACAAAAACATAAATAATTATCTCTCTCCTAAATTTGGCGCATGCTTTGTCTATGAAGGTGAATGCAGTGATGTCAATACAGAGTTTTTTCTTGACGCGATTACTAAGTGGTTGTTTGTCATGTACTTATTTGTCGGGTCCCAAAATTTTAGCGGTGGTTCCCCAATTCTCCTAACTGATGTTTATGCAAACAATTTAACATATACTAGATACAATATTTTAACTTTTACTTCCAAACAAAAACATCCATGATCAATGTAATTTTAAGACTTTTAAAGTTATTTTTAAATGTAATAAAGTAACAGCACAAAATGAAAACAGAACTATGTGGGGTAGCTGTGCAGTCCACTGACCATTGTTAGGCACTTTGATAAAAATTTCAAAACATTTTTAAAAATATAAAAATACTACAGCTGTATAGAGCCTGGAGAATATATTACAAAAACACCGAGAGCAACTTTCTAGATCAAGTGGTTCAAAAGTTATGAATTTTTTAGTAGGCACATCAAAGGCATTTTTTTACTATGGATTTTCCTCCTTTGTTTTTGTTTTTTAATGAGTTGTTATGGAGTAATAAGCTGGATTTCCAGTGTAAATCAAGTTATTAACTTTAAAAAAAAAAAAAAAAAAAATCGTAATCGATAATAGGTCATTTTGGCACACGTGACAAAAATTTGGTAGGCATTTTTTTACCATTGAACTGGGTCCTAACCTCTTGAATTTTTTATTTATGTTGTAATTTATGCTATTATCCACCGACGTCTTTTTATTTAAGAAAGACAACCTTTGAAAAAAAAAAAAAAAAATATGAGTGAGTAAAATAAGCATTATTTTTACCTTCAAATTTCAAGTTAAGACCTCAAATATTTTTTAGAACGGAAGTGGCTAATCATAAAACAACATGACTACTCAAAGTTGTGGGCAGAAATAGAATGTGCATGTTGGGCTATAATTAACCAAAAAATCGTAAACAACTAGGCTCTCAGTAAATTAAAAAGTGGAGGTCGCCATTTTGATAACAAAATCACGATACCCGGTTTTCCGCAATCCCGGATCTCATCGAAGTGCCTACCATTGTATTAAAATTAAAAGATAAAATAAACTGGCATTTAGAAAACGAAGTGTCTACACGTCCGGCGCGCCAGACAAATAGCGTGGGAGATATACGTCCAGCGGGCATGTCACGTGACCCTCAAACGCCTGGTAGGCGTTATTATTCCGGCAGGTCATGTGACAAGTGGTCGCCGAGAAAATAGTTGCATTGCATTTGATATTCCGATCCCTAGATAACAAATAAATGCTGAACATGTTAATATATTCAAATGCTCTGAGATACATAAAGTGTTTGACTTTGAATATTAAACTAGTCTGCCTATAGACTAGCTAGTAGTACTATTACTACTTACTACTAACTAGTAGTACTATTACTACTACTATTTCTAGTCTATTTGATTCCGACTCTTCAAAGAAAAAAGTCCCTTATCTTGGTTAATACGTCTTGTGTAAAGCTCTACCTTGAAGCCTATATCTAAAATATGAACCAATAAAATAAGACCAGTAGCCAGTAGACTTTAATAGACCTATGTCTATAAAGTTGTATTTCCGGATTAGTATTTAGTATTGCATGAGAAGTAGGCTAGGCTCCCAACTATATCGGCCCTATATTAAGATGTAGGGTCTATTTCTTTGTGAACTATAGGCCTCCACGCCTTAAACTTAATTATTTATCACCCTCACTATTATTATTTTAGCATTGTATTTTTTTTTTACCGTAATTCTCTCTCCCTCTCAGCATTGCTTCCTTCTAGAATGCATTTTTGCTTAACCCCCACTTTGTTTAGGCAATATACCAAAGTATTTTTTTCTATTATTTGTTTGCAAGATAGTGCATTAAAATTAATTAACAATGGCTTTGAATCATTCGCGGTCACGTGACAAGGCTGATGGACAATATCTCGGGCCACTTTGTTACGGCGGTCATGTGACATGATCGCTGGACGAATATCTCGATAAAGTATTCTTCCGGCGGTCATGTGACTTGGTCGCCGGACAAATAGTGTAGGAGATATACGTCCGGCGCCAGACGTGTAGACACTGCCTTTAGAAAAAAAGATAAAAATCATCGCTTTAAAAACTACTTAACTAAACTAAGAGTAAGAGTAAGTAGTAAGAGTAACCTAGGCCAGGCCTAGTTGAGAAGGATGTTGATGTTGTACTATGAAGAACATTTCAAATCAAAGCCTTCTTTTTACTTTAACTATTACTATTTACTATGTCTATATGGTCAAGTCATACTATGATTACTATAATCATACTATTTACTATGTCTATATTGACTATAAACTCTATAAATTACTAATTTTTACTATAAACTCTATAAATTACTAATTTTTAGTACAAGTTAGTTGACTTACAACAACACTAGCCAGTAACTCCGTTATACTTTCTTCTCTTTCTTCGTCTGTTGATTCGGTTTCCAATATTCCAATGATATAACTAACGAATACATCTGTATCGATGTCAGCGCTAGCAGATTTCAATCTTTCTGTCAACCAAATATCGAATGGTCCAGCCATGGATGTCGCCATTTTGTCTTCAACCATAAATAATCGAAAAACGAAATATTCGATTAAAGATAAGAAGATAATAGGAAAAGATGTCATTAATTTCTATTCACTACACATTAATTTAACAAAATTTATTAATACGATTCTAACCATTAATTTTATCCATACAATTTGTATTTGCTATTTGTTTTTTTGAAGAAAAAAATGTGTGTTTGTTTTGTCTAAACTCTTAATAAAGCTAGCTTTTTTTTAAAGTCAGCAACTCCGTAAAGAAATACAATTTGTCAAACACTTAAATTCCGTAGACTTTTTTTTTTTTTTTTTTTTTTTTTAAAAAGTATAAACTAGCATAAACCCGTTAACTAATTTTGGCCATTTCCTGTTTTTTTACTTTGAGTTTTTCTTTTAAAATTTTTATAGTAAACTTTAAACATCACATTTTTTTTTTTTTTGTTTGTCTTAAAAAGTATAAACTAGCATAAACCCGGTAACTAATCTTGGCCATTTGCTGGTTTATTACTTTGAGTTTTTCTTTGAAAAATTTTACAGTAAACTTTAAACATCACGGAGGGCTTAAATTAGCTCTTTACAGAAGTTACACTTGCAGAGGACATTTTAACAAACGATAATTAAATTGTGATGGCCGTAGGATGAAGTAGGCTTAGTTTTTTTTGTTTATTAAAAAAATTTAATCTTTTTTTCAATATTTATTCAGTCAGTAACCAATATATAGAGATATGACTGGTTTTAAAATTTCAGGATATTTCCCTAAATGAACTACATGCTCTGTAGCGTTTCTTCTTAGAATAAAAACAGCAAACAAAAACTTTCCTGACATTTTTTTCAACATGATAGAATCTAGAGGAGGTCGAAGATAATTGCTCATTTGCTCTTCAGCAGCAGACCAGCTGAGAAATCAACAGCTCATTATTCTACTATTCCCGGACTCCCTGAAGTGTCTAGAGTATTTCATTACCCCCACCCACCCCACCAAATCAGGATTGGATAGCTTAGTAATTCAGTGCAGTCAACTATATTTTATAGGCCCTGGCGGCTAATATTAACACACCTGCACAAATATAAAATCTAATTAAACATTTGATTTGAATAATTATGCAATCTTTAAAAGTATTCATAATCGTAAATTAAATACACGGAACTTTCAAATAAGGTTAGCAGATCATTTAATCACGTATAGTCTTCTAAGATAAATAAGAATAAAATAAATGAATTAATGTTTCAAATTACCAATGGCAGTTTTTCTACACAAACTTCCGAGATATGCATGGGATCCTATGCACTACTCACACATAGATCTCTAGCTTCCTCAGCAACCGATGCCAAGCAGTAGTGGTGGACGGTTCAAGATTCTCATTTGTTGGTGTTAAGTGAGGGGTCCCCCAGGGGTCAGTGCTATGCCCCCGTTTGTTCCTAGCATATATTAATGACCTACCCGAGAAACTGAGATCCCAAGCAAGACTGTTCGCAGGTGACACGCGGTGTAAAGGACGATCGCCAACAGATCTGACCAGGACCAGCTACAACAGGATCTTAATCGGTTAGCTGAGTGGGCGATGAGCTGGGACATGGAATTTCATCCTGCCAAGTGCCAGACACTCAGTCTCTAGAAGTTGTACTCCACTAAACTAGCATTACGAAGTGCATGGCCATATACTTGAGCCAGTTTCCTCCTTAAAGTACCTGAGTGTCACCATTCAAAGAGAGGTTCACTTGGACGAGCATATTAACAATGTGTGCAACCAGGCAAACAAGACCCTAGGGTTCTTAAGGCGTAATCTAAAGATCGGCAACTCCAGTGTGAAAGAAAGAGCCTATAAAGGCTTAGTCCGTCCGCTTTTAGATTATGCATCTTCATTCTGGGACCCATTTACCCAGAAGAGCATTGATAGGTTGGAGGCGGTCCAGCGACGGGCAGCACGCTTTGTCCTGAACCGGTACAGAAATACCTCTAGTGTTGGCAGCATGCTGGAAAAACTAGGCTGGCCACCATTGGAGGAACGACGACGCCTAACCAGGCTCTCCATGATGTACAAGATAAATAATGAGCTGGTCCACAGCTCCAGCATTAAACAGAAACTCGCCCCTCTCCCCCATAGAAAGCGACGAGGCCATGACAAGCAGTTCCGGCTCATACCATCGAGAAGCCTCCATAGGAACTGCTCATTCCTGCCAAAGACAATCAGGGACTGGAACTAGCTTTCCTTTCTAAAGGAACAGTTGAGGCGACTACACCTGACACATTTGCGTCTATTGCCTCAGGGTTTTCAACTCCAAGTGCTTGACACCCTCACAAAGTAGCCCTTGCAACCAGTGAAATATCCTGATCAACACCAGGCACAGAAACAATGCTAATCTCATCTACATGCATAGGAGCCGAAATGATCAATAAATTGATAGAAGAAGAAGAGACGAATGTGGCAATATCTTCCCCTGTGTTACCCCTGGTAGTACTTGTAAGTTGACTGCAAAATTGATAAAGATAGCACAAATAAAACCTTGAATCATCTTATTGGCTACTTTAAGTATGTTATTTGCATACATTTTCACTTAACATTTTTAAAAAGTAAATCTTTATACGAATCCATGAAATAAAACATGTTATTTTAATGGTAAATGATGATCTTATTTGACAAGGAATTGAAAAAAAAAAAAAAAAAAAAAAGCATTTGTTTTAATTTTAAAAAAAAACAACGGGTGGGGGGATGAAGAACGCAAAAACGAATCCATGAAATAAAACATGTTATTTTAATGGTAAATAATGATCTTATTTGAAAAGGAATTGAAAAAAAAAAAAAAAAAAAAAAGCATTTGTTTTAATTTTAAAAAAAAACAACGGGTGGGGGGATGAAGAACGCAGGTTTAGTTCGAAGGAAATACGTGAAACAAAGCTTAGTAAAATCATTTTTAAAAATGACGTAACAAAACAACAAAGGTATCGTAAATAATCGTAACAATGATATAAATATTAAAACTGCTGAGATGTTGTACCCCAGATGTTGTACTCGAAAGGTAGACAGGAAGTAAGAGAGAAAATGAGGGCAAAAGGGGTCGGGGGAGTAATTCCACGCCGATTGGTTGGGAAAAGAATGAGAAGGAGGAAAGATTTAAAAAAGCGAATGGGATCATGAAATTCATCCCATGCGGTGTCAGCTTTCCATATAAGTATTTTATTTTGTTTTCTAAGTTGCCCCTGGCGGGTGTGTTGGTACTGGAATAAATGGCGGTAATCGTAAAATTGCTTGAGCACTTATGGTTGCCTCTATTAATCTGTTTTGAGTTAGGACATTCCTAATCTTGCATAATACTTTAAAGTTACTTAGAGCATCTGTCTGAGAGACAACGAGTCGTCTCCCCCTAATAGGCGATATAGCAGCGGGTACAAACTACTGCGTAGATAACATTGCGGCTTGTGCGTTGGAAACAACCCCATATCTGAAAAGCAATCTTAGGAAAGGTAATGTATTGAGTCTGGATGACAAACAGCACGCCATACAACGGTTGAGTCCACATGATGGTCCCAAAATGGGAGGGGGTAGCACGGAGGTGGCTACGAACAAGGAGATGTCATAGATTCTTACCTCTCCTGAGCACAATGAAAAAGGGGGGGGGGGAGATGAGAAACGTTGTGGGTGTCAGGGTCGGCGAGGAGAATGGCACGGTTTTTAAAGAAAACGTGTCTAGCTCAGGGCTTGTGGGATGAAATGTAAGGGTAAGTTTGATCTTGTCGACGTTGTCATTCGGACGACACATGGAGGCTTTGGCACGATTTATGATTTTAACCGGTTGACGGGAGGATAAACATATCGTTAACAGATAGGACCTACACCGGAAATAGTCCATCGTCTAAGTTCCTTGTTCGAAAAGCGCACCCTTCGTCTGCCGCAGAAATAGTCCATCGTCTAAGTTCCTTGTTCGAAAAGCGCACCCTTCGTCTGCCGCAGAAATAGTCCATCGTCTAAGTTCCTTGTTCGAAAAGCGCACCCTTCGTCTGCCGCAGACGACGAAGACGAAGTCATTCGGAAAAGAGAAATTAGTTCTTAAGGGCCTTAGGGTGGTGAGGAAGGTAAAGTAAACATTTGTGGCTTTCAGTTGGTATAAAGGAGATGAGGTGAGTAGGCTGTCTTTGTGGAGGGTTACCATGATGTCCAAACAATTAATCAAGATATCAGATACATTATATGTACATTTAATGGAGTTGGAATACTAAAATTAATAGATTGAAGAAAAAAAAAATTACGCACCAAACGCACTTGCGTTATTTTTAAGTATCTCGTTTAGGGCAGGTAACGGAAATTTTATTATGTACGCTATTATATATTATACTACATGTACTTTCATACATATTTTTGGCGATTCTTAATTTAATCATATACAAAATTGCAAAGTAACGATTGAAGTTATGAAAGGATATTTACATAAAAACTCAAGGGTAGTTTTTGTCTAACATAAAAAGTACCATCAGGATGTTTTTTTTAAAATTTATTGTTCGTCCGTCGAAGATCGGTGACTGATGACTTGCGCGGGTGACTTTAGTTTAAAGTGAGGAAGAGTTGCGCGGCGTCAACCTCACTCTCTCGTCCGGGCCCACCATATAAAGTGGCAAGACTCTACGTCAAGACGACCAGAGATGGGTATAGTTGCAGGATTTGTCATTGTATGCGCCTTACTGGACTCCAACTCCGGGTTTGAATTCAGAGTTTCCTTCTCTTAGATGTCGACCAAGGTTAACGAGTCTCATCCACCCGGGGCGATGTTTTTTGCTTGACTGACCCTTGGCTGGACTTGAACTCAGTTTGGACCATTCGGCCATCCAGTCAGGATGTAAAGATATCATGACATTATCACTGGTACCTACTCTTCAAACCGTTCTTGCAAATATATAAATTCAGTTTTTAAAACGTTTTTAAAAGAAAAAGATATGTCTTTCTAGCTGTACCAAACTGATGTGTCTGTCTAATTGTACAAAACTGATGTCTCTGTCTAATTTTGTACAAAACTGATGTCTCTGTCTAA